TTATTCCTTTAAAAAATTTTTGTTTATTCAGTTTGAGAGAGAGAGCATGAGCAGGGTGGGGGGTGATCAGAGAGAGAGGGGGAAGCAGGCTGTCCACTGAGCAGGGAGCCCATTGCAGGGCTTGATCCCAGGACCTTGGGATCATGACCTGAGTTGAAGTCAAAGGTTTAACCCACTGAGCCACCCAGGTGCCCCAAATGGTACTGTTTTCTTGATTTGTCTTTCTGATAGTTCATTGTTGGTTTATGAAAATGCAACTCATTTTTGCATATTGATTTTATATTCTGCACCTTTTCTGAAACTATTAGCTGTAATAGGTTTTTGCTGGAGTCTTTAAGGTTTTCTGTATAGTCCTGTCATTTGCAAATAGTGACAGCTTTACTTCTTCCTTTCCCCTTTGGACGCCTTTCTTTCTTTTTCTTGCTTACTTGCTTTGGCTAAGACATCTAATATCACGTTGAATAAAAATGTTGAGTGTGGGCATCCTTCTCTTGTGTCTGATCTTAGACGAAGACCTCTATGTTTCTGTTCTGAGTATGATGTTAGCCTTGCCATATGTGGCCTTTATTATGTTGAGATATGTTCCTTCTCTATCTAGTTCCTTGAGAGTTAAAATATTCTGTCTTAATACATCCAGAAAAGATGGACTGTGTGAACTCAGATTCTTTTTCTGAGGCAGACATTGCATATAAGAGGGCTCAGTTTTATATATTCCCAAGAGGCCATTAATTGGGATCTTTAGGACGTTATGCCTAATTAAGTCAAACTGAGGATTTGAAAGCATTTCTTATTGTTGTAAGATGTCTAACAGTAATATGATATAATGTCTAACAATAGCTGGACGCTAACAATAGCTGGACGCAGAAAGACAGTCTTGAAGTCATAGTTTGAACAGCAGGAAAAATTTATGTGATTCCTACCGGTGCCCCTCCTTCCCCTTCTGGTGTGTGACTATTTTCATTTACAGAAGACAAATCCATGCCAAGAATTCTACTGGACATGACCTAAAATTACTTTAATCTAAGGGTATACCTTGCTGGTGTGACGCCGCTTTTCTTGGCAGCCTCGCATAGCCAATCCATACAGATTTTTCACTTTTATGAACATGGGTCTTTCTCTAGAAGTAGCAGTGGGGTTTATTAGAATATGGGGGCAGGTATAGCCTAGGAAACATACTGTAAACTTATTAGTTAATACAAACTATCAAACTTAAGGTTGGCCAAATTATTTTTAGAACTGTGCTGAAGATGGAATAAAACATAAGCACTGTAGGGAGCAAGGGAACTTGTTCCCGGAAGTCAGAATCTGTCACCAAAATAACCAAGTCGATCATTTGGACTATGTTTGTGGCTGAGTGGAGGATGTCACAAATAATAGTTTGGGGGGAAATGCCCAAATGTGAATATGAAATTGTGTTGTGCATGTGATAATATTTGTCATGTACTGAGTGGCTTGCATGTGGGCCCAGGTGCCAGAGGTTAGCTGTCACCATTTCACAGGGAAGAAAAGTGAGGCTAGTGTCAACAAATAAGTCCGTAGCCAGAGTTTTCTTTTTACATCTTAAAAATTCTGATTTAAAAACAAACAAACAAACAAACAAACAAACAAACAAACTCAGGTTCTCTTACACACCTGAGTGGTTCTCTGTATCCTCAGAGAAAGATAATAGTTGCATTTTCTTAATAAAGATTTTTATTCATCTATTTATGAGAGAGAGAGAGTGAGAAAGAGAGCATGAGCAGAGAGGTAGAGGGAGAGGGAGAAGCAGGCTCCCTGATGAGCAGGGAGCCTGGTGTGGGACTCGATCCCAGCACCCTGGGATCCTGACCTGAGCCAAAGGCAGACACTTAACCGACTGAGCCACCCAGGTGCCCTGGGTAGTTATATTTTCAGGTGGCTGGGTGTCTATCTACTCAGGAAGCTAAACATCACCGAAAGCTTTCTGAAATTATATCGCATTATTTTCTTCCTTCGTTTAACATGTAATACTGAACATTTTCAATATTTTCCCGAAAACTCATCCTTAATGTAGGCGACACGGTAAACGTGCTCCCGGGGTCTGAGGCGTGGGAGGCTCCTGGTCCCATGCTGTGGTGCTTTTCCAGTTTGCTAGTCAGAGAACAATTTTTGTTGTTGTTGTTGTTGTTGTTAAGATTTTATCTTTCCGTTTGTCAGAGAGAGAGAGAGAGAGAGAGAGAATGAGCAGGCAAAGGGAAAGAGGGAGCGGCAGGCAAGGGGAGGAGAAGCAGGCTCCTTGCTCAGCAGGGAGCCTGATGTGGGGCTCGATCTCAGGACCCTGGGACCATGATGTTGAGCTGAAGGCAGAGGCTTAACGACTACGCCCCCAGGCACCCCCAGAAAATGATGTTTATTCCTTCCTGAGTGACTGTTCTGTGATCCTAGTTCTTTCACTGCTTCAAATGGGAATCTCCCAGGGCCTTAGAAAGGAAATAATTAAACCAGTTAGCATTGTACGTAAAGTAAAAGTAAATAGGCCTGAAAATCTAGACCATGAGGGAAGCAAGAAGAACACAGATCACCTAATTTACATTCTCCTGTTGCAGCAGCCTGATTAAATCTTTTTTTATGTTATGTCCCAGATAGGTGAGTGCATCACTTAACTGAGTTCCAAGTAAGCCAGATAGAGAAACTTTCATCAGTAGAGACAGACGCGCAGACATACACACACATGCGTGTGCACACGTGCACACACATGCACACACACGATTTTATTTTCTCACTGGTACTGACCTACCACACTTAAAAAATTTCTATCCACACTAAAAAATAAGGAAAAAAATAAGGATTTTTTTTTTTTTTTTAAGAAAGGCAACATTTTATGTAACCATTTAGTGTTTGTTTACCTTGTTCTATTGCTAAGAGGTTTTTTTTCCATAATGGAATGTGGTTTTTGTTCACCCATTGCAAAAGCCTTTGCTACACATTAGCATAGACTTGTCACTAACAAATCTTTCTTCAGTAAGAACACAAAAGAACAGGAGCACAACTCTGGAGGGGTTTTAATGTTCCTGAGTCTTGGTTTCTTCACGTGTAAGATGCAGGTCAGTAGAGATTAAAATGAGGTCCTGTGGGGGCACCTGCGTGGCTCAGTCGGTTAAGTGTCTGCCTTCAGCTCAGGTCATGATCCCGGTGTCCGGGGATGGAGCCCCAAGGAGGGCTCGGTGTTTAGCTGGGAGCCAGCTGGAGAGTCTCACTCTCCCTGTCAGCTGCCTCTGCTCACTCCCTTTCCCCCACTCATGCTCTCTCTCTCTCTCAAATAAATAAAAAATCTTAAAAAATAAAATAAAATGGGGCACCTGGGTGGCTCAGTTGTTAAGCATCCACCTTTGGCTCAGGTCATGTTCCCAGGGTCCTGGGATCGAGCCCTGCATGGGGCTCCTTGCTTGGCGGGGAGCCTGCGTCTCCCTCTCCCGCTCCCCTGCTTGTGTTCCCTCTCTCGTTATGTCTTTCTCTGTCAAATAAAATCTCCAAAAAACTAAAAAAATACCCCAAAATAAAAATAAAATAAAATAAAATAAGATGAGGTCCTCTGGTGTGGAAGGCTGTCTTAGTCCGTTTGGAATGCTACAACAGAAAGCCATAGACTGGATAGCTTATAAACAACCAGAATTTATTTCCCATAGTTCTGGGGGCTGGGAAGCCCAAGGTCAAGGCCCCACACACGGGGGTCTGGTGAAGTTCTACTTCCTGGTTCACAGACGGCCGACTTCTCACTGTGTCCTCACATGGTAGGAGGGGTGAGAAGGGGTGAGGGGCGAGGAGCTCTCTGGGGTCTCTTTCATAAGGGGACTAATTCCAGTCATGAGGCTCTGTCCTCACGACCCAACCCCCTTCCAGAAGCCGTACCTCCTAACTCCATCACACTGGGGGTAAGGATTCACCACAGGAATTTTGGGGAGGGACACAGACATTCAGCCCACAGCACAAGTCAGCACAGTAAAGACACGTACGATGGGTACTAGTTGAACATGAATTCAACTGAAATTCAAGTAGAACGATACATATAACCATATATTTATGCTCTAACTTGAGAAACTTGTTCACTGTCATCCCTCACCTGTTAAGTGGGCCTGACAGGACCACAGAAGGTCTGGACTGAGAATCCCCTATATTTTCTCAGTTCCACCCGCTCATTTAACACATGGGGAAACAGGTCACGGAGTTTGTGAAACGCGCCCAGAGACAGAGAACAGAGATCCCGCACATCTGCATAGACCTGTCACTGAGAAATCTTTCTTTAGTAAGAAAAGGTTGCCCTGAGCCAAGTGAAGGACTAGGGCTCTCTTCATGAACACGAACATCTCTGCATTTCTGGGGTCCTTCACGATTTGCTAAGCATGACCTCACCCCGTGACCTAGGTTACTACACTCCATCCACGGGCTTATGAAGATGGCCCTTCTTCCCTTCTTGTCTTTGGGAGAGTTTTTGCGTTCTCAGACCTGTGCTGCAGCAGCTGAATCCATAAAAAATAACTTAAAAAAAATACACAAACACACGCATCTTGAGATGGAAAATGTGCCTATGTCCCTAGTATGTCTCTATGGAAGAAACACCATCACGTCTCCCTGGGTCTCCCGTATAGGCCACACCCCGGCAGAGACACCAGCGGGGAGAGAGAATGATCTTTGGTTTGAGAATTCCTGAACGTTACTGACACTTTCGTACTACAGGGCGTAGGAACGTTGACATTTTCAGGAGGTGTGGCGCCATTTATAGATGACCCTTTAATGAGTCTTCATCTGGGGACAGAAAAGGGAGGTCCGCCCGCCGCTCTTTGTGTGGTTTTATGCAATTAAGTCCTTCAAAGAACGAAGAGTGAAATCAAGTCATTTCTCCTCCTGAATTTCTCCTTATTTTTCTTGCTGTGAGGTTCTATAGAAATGTACGAGTATCGGGACACTATAAAAGAGAAGGGATATATCCTGCGAGGGAGGACATCAGACAATAAATCCAAAAACACTACAGACATTAGAAGTCCGAATTTAGGGGAGGGTGGGAGGCAACACGTTCTTTTCACCGAGCCCTTACACAACACGCACTGTCCTCCAAAGTGGGAATGGAACCAACCAGACCCCCAGCAGTGGGGCGGAGCCGGGGTCTTGGCTTCAGACCTGTTACTGTCCCCGGGACTGGACGGGGCATCAAGCGCCTTTTCCGGAATAGGCCAGAGAGGATAAGTCCAGTTGGGTCCGGAAGGCTTCGGTCAGCTCCGCGGCCAGCAGCTCGTGCAGGGACACGCCGTCGTGCGCGTACACCCAGTTCCTCCCCGTCCAGTCGTAGCGCTTGGGGCCGCTGCAAGACAAAATCGACCTACGGGAAGTCCACGAGCACTGCCCTTGCGCAGAAATGCTGACCCCACAGACGCCGCCCCCAAGAAACTGACCAGAAGGAAGCTCCCAAGTCAGTGCAACAAGGCGCCCCCTGACTGCCTGTCTGAGCAAGTCCCCACTCATCCCCTGCAACAACTCGACACAACGACTCTCAAGGCCGGGGAACACCGGGACCCTCTCCGCGAGGGGTCATAAGTCACATCGGAGGCTTCACTTTTTGGAACTCACGTAGGATACCTGCTGTGTCAGAGCAGTGTTGTTCAAATCATGGCCCTTTGGGTACCACTCATGCGATTTGTCCCCTACCTGTATTATTATTATTATTATTATTATTATTATTAATTACTTTAGGACCTTTGTAACATGCGCAACCACTACCTCTCCCTACAAAACACTTCATCACCCCAAAAGGGAACTCTGTGCCCATTAAGCAGTCGTGCCCCGCACCCCTACCCAGCTCCTGGCAATTACCTATGCTATTTTTTTTTTCAATATACTTTTTCTTGGCACGTGTGGCTGGCTTGGTTGGGCGTCTGCCTTCGGCTCAGGTCATGATCCCAGGGTCCTGGGATCGAGCCCCGCATACTGCTCCCTGCTCCGTGGGAAGTTTGCTTCTCCCTTTGCCTGCCACTCCCCTCGCTTGTGCTCTCTCTAACAAATAAATAAATTAAATCTTAGAAAAGAAATGCAGTCCCATGAAAGATGGTTTTGGATGTGAAAAGTTGAGTGGAAAATGCATTTCTTTCCTGAGGAACACAGTATCTGGGATAGTAAATGGCTGCTTCGCAGATTTTCTTTCCAGATTCCCACCATGAATGACAGATTAAAGCAGCCCCGGGGTAGGATCCTATTGCCGGTAGGTGTAAACAAACAAGATACGGACTTTTTTGACCCCCAGATATGACAGGGAATTCTATGGTTCCCGGGCCCTGCCCAGTGTTTACACAGCCACCAGTCCCCAAAGGTGATGGCTGGGTTTGAACTGATCCACCCAGCGTCTCCTGTGGTTCCTCCAGAAGTGAAGGGTAAGAACGTGCAGTCCTCACGCTGGGCTCTGGCCAGGGTTGGGGCAACTGTTTGAGGCCAAAGAGAACAGCTAATTGGCCCATACAGGATGAAACGCCCAAGTTCAAGTTAATTGGGTCTAAAAAAGCAATGCAATCTGTAAGAGTCTTGCTAGAAATGGGTGATTTCTGAAATTGTTTGTTGAATTCTAACATACCTCCTAGAAGAGGTTGGGGCAAAACAAAGGAGGCATAACGCTTTATTTATGTTGAGTAAATAATTTCACACCATGGCATGATAAACAGTACAATAGTAACTGCCTAAAAATGATGTGAACATTGGGGCAGAAGAGTTATAAATTTTTTTTTTGGAAAATTTATTTATTTGAGAGAGAAAAAGAGAGCCAGGGGAGGGGCAGACGAGGAGAGAGAGACTCTCAGACTCCCGCTGAGTGCAGAGAGGCCTTGAGGCTTATCACTATGGAGATCAGGACCTGAGCCCAAATCCAGAGTTGGATGCTTAACTGACTGAGCCACCTAGGTGCCCCTATAATTTCACTTTTTTTAATGTAGATATCACTGGGCTTTCCAAGAATTGCATGCTGGGTACATCTGGCCTTTCCCAATGCATACTCGGTATGTTGTCTTTGGAAGTGCTCCTGAGTGACCCAGGGGGGCTGGTCTGAGAGCTTTTAGTGAGCGTCTCCCTGACAGCCACCCAGACAGACGCAGGCGGGAGAGGACCCTCTCTCCCTGCACGTTCTCAGGCCTTGAGACGCAGCGCAGGCGGCCTCCAACGCATGCCTTTATTCCAGGAGACTGAAAGCAGAGCAGTGCTAACGGCAGGAGGGACTCGACGCCCTGGAGTCCCAGCCTCGGAGGCTCTCCCGGCTCCACAGGGCACGCGGCTCAGCTTGGCAGAGGGAACCCAACCAACACTGAGCGAGCTGCTCAAAACAAACCAGAGGCCAAACTTGAACCTGCTCTGAAGACAAAGGCAACTCATTCCGAGGCTGCAGCATCAAGAGTGGCTTTTTTGGGGCGCCTGGTGGCTCAGTGGGTTAGGGTCCCTGCCTTCGGCTTGGTTCATGATCCCGGGGTCCTGGGATCAAGCCCCACATCGGGCTCTCTGCTCAGCGGGGAGCCTGTTTCCGCCCCCCGTCCCCCCTCCCCACCTGCCTCACTGCCTACTTGTGATCTCTGTCTGTCAAATAAATAAATAAAATCTTAAAAAAAAAAAAATTAAAAAAAAGAGTGGCTTTTTAAAAGGCAGGGCAATGACTTCACAGAGAGAAACCGTCCAGGCCAGGCTCTGCAAAGTTACACACTTTTTGCTTCAGGTCTCAGGATGTGCTCCTGGCGGCCGGAGCACTGGTAAGCTGGTTACTGAAGCTGGGTTAACTGTGCTTCGAGGATGGGGTGAGGCTCTCGGACACCCACCCATGAGGTGATGCTCCTTTTAAAGGGTCCACGATGCCACACCTCACGAGCCCCGAGCAAGGACAGATGTGGACTTCCGGGACGTACCTGGAGGGTGAGGATAACCAGATCTGCTTGTTTGGGGTCTGCTTGTTGATCACGTAGGTTCCTAGATCTCCACCCAGTTTGACGGTCAGGACACCACTCTGGCGGATCAGGCGGCGAGAGCATGCGGGAAAGAGAACAAGACAAGGTGAATCACTCTGTCCCAGTTGTTGCGCATCTCGACACTGAGACTCAACACACACCTTGAAGAAACGGGTTTCGTGTTAGACACGGCAGATCGCGCGGAAAGCACACTGCTCTCAGAGTCCGACTATGATGAATCACGATACTACTCAGACCCCATGGGGCCTCCCTCATTCCCCGCGGGGCTGGAGAGGCAAGGGTTCTCATTCCTCCTATCCAGAGGCAAGGAGACAGCAGCGGCTTGTCTGAGGAGTGACAGCGGCAAACGGGAGCCCGTGGGCTGCCTCAGTTCCCTTGAAGCCCAGCCAGAACCCACGAGAAGATGTTAAGAAACGCAGACCCCAACTCTGCCGGAGTCCCACGTCAGCCCAGACATCGGACAGGACACGTTCATGACCAAAACAAGGAAAAGAGGCAAGAAAGAAGGAGTGTTCAAACCAGGAGCGTTGCCGGTTTTAGAAGAGCCACAGAGCGAGCTCCGCCGTTGGAAGGAAGACAGAGCTTTTATTTTCAGACCCTTCCCATGCATCTCACAAGCTGCCCTCAAGGGCTTTATTTTCTCTGAATTCTTTAAAAGAGTGGTTGGTCCATCCTTGCTCACTAAATGCTCATTTAAATTTGAACACACTCTTTCAACAAAGGAGCCCTTTACTCCCAAGGTCTGAGGTTTCTTTAGAATGAGCAGAATATTACAGAAGCAGTTGCGCAGCTCAGTCCCTTTACTGGAGCTGGGGTGCAGGGGGGCAGCCCCTCACCCCGGGCATAACCCGCGGAGACACACCGCTGCCTTTCTCTGGGCTTCTAGAGCCCCTGTCCCATCAAGAGGCCCTGAACTCTTCTTAGAAGACTTTGTGTTTGGTTTGCAAACACAAAGAGCTATTGAAAAGGTAGATGGCAGCGGCATACACAATAATGTAACTGGCAGGCAAGGGAAGACTCTATTGGGTTGTACCTTTTTTAAAAAAATTTGAGAGAGAAAGCAAGAGGGAGAAAGCACAAGGTGGAGGGCAGAGGGAGAGGGGGAAGCAGGCTTCCTGCTGAGCAGAGAGCCCAACGCAGGGCTCTATCTCAGGACCCTGGGATCATGACCTGAGCCCAGGGCAGATGCTTAACCGACTGAACCACCCAGGCACCCCTGGACGACCACCTTTCATTTACTAAAAATTGTCTTGAGGCACCTGGAGGGCTCGGTTGGTTAAGCATCCAACTCTTGATTTCAGCTCGGGTCATGATCTCAGAGTCGTGAGATCCCGGGTGTCCCCGGGCTCTGTGCTGGGCATGCAACCTGCTTACAATTCTCTCTCTGCCTCCTTCCCTCTGCCCTCCCCCTCTTTTTCTAAATTTAAAAAATTTTTTCCCTCCCCTCTCTTAAAAAAAAAAAAAGTATCTTAAAATTGCACAGTTTAATAATTTCAATATTTCACAAAGTGTAGTCATAAGGTGTGCAAACATCACTAATTCTCAACTATTTCCACCCCAAAGAGAAACCCCTAGCCATCAGCAGTCCTTCCCCACCGCCTTTCCTTACAAACTTCCAAAGCTTCTTTTCCCATGAGATAGCAGGCTCAGGGGATCCAGACAGAATTGTTTCCTGTTTGACCTACTTATGGTCCCTCAGTGCCCCACTGTGCCTTGCCCCCCACACACGAGGAGGTGCAGGCACCGTGGGGAGGTCAGAGGATGGGGGGTCTGAGTCTCATCAACCCTGCCACCGTCCTCAGGACGACATCTGTGCTGCCTCCTTCAGAGACCCAGGCAAGGATGGAGGGGCATGGTGGTCAAGGGTTGTATTTGCTCCTGATCACCGTCACACCCTAGGGCAGGACACCAAATCAGGGACGGCATGTCCAGTCACTGAAAGCCAAATCCAATCCTTCCAACTCAGGATCTTCTGGAATTATTCCAGGGAATGGGCCAGGCATTCACAAAGAGCATATTAAATAAGCAGCCATGAGGGGCGCCTGGGTGGCTCAGTGGGTTAGAGCCTCTGCCTTCGGCTCAGGTCGTGATCCCAGAGTCCTGGGATAGAGCCCCGGGTCAGACTCTCTACTAGCAGGGAGCCTGCTTTCTTCTCTCTCTGCCTACTTGTGATCTCTGTCAAGTGAATAAATAAAATCTTTAAAAAAAAGCAGCCATGAGATTTCTTCTAGATGTGAAGACCTCAAGCTGTCTCCTCCACCTGGCACCGTCCCTGCAGCGCCCCTCCCCGCACAAGACTGAGACCCCTGCTCAGGAACCCCTGCCCGCCCACCCCACGGCCCCCATGCCTTCCTCCCTGCAACTGAGCTGCCTGCCTGTTTACGGGACACCTGCGCCCCCCCCCTCCACAACTCGAAGCGCCTTGAGGGCAGATCTGGCTTTCCATCCCAGCACCTTCAGCGTCCAGTAAATCTGTTCTTAGTGCGAGATACTGGGTGGACACGAAAATACACCCGTGTTGGAATGAACCAAGCCAACGGTGACCAGGGCTGGTGATAACACGTGCGAAGTCGAGGGCAAGTTTACACAAGGCAGAAAGTCTCGACACTTAGCCAACCCGCCTCCTGTTGGTTGTGCGTGACTATTTTTCCCATGGAGCCAGAGGCTGTTTCCAGAGGAATCTGGCAGGAGGAGGAAGGAATGGAAGGAAAGGAGAGGCTTACTGGTTCACCAGGAGTTCCTAATGCTCTCGGAACCGTCTGCAAGTACCCAGATGAAGATGGCTTTTTGTTCATTGGTATTATTCCTTAAGGGCCAGTCGGAGGCTGTTCTAGGAGTGTGGGCAGCCTTAAACGCAGGAGCAGGGGGGAGTCAAACTCCTCAACAGCTGGGGCCAGAGGTGCTTGCCGGTCAGAACAGCCCCCGTCCACCGCTGGCGGAGGCTCACGCCCCCCAGTCAGTATCCGCCCCACACACTCCGGAGCGAAAGGAGCAACTTCTGTCGTCACAGCTCATTCTGCAGAGACTGACACCTACGGGATGGCACGTTGAGTCAGGAGATTTCGGGGATATGTGGCTTCCCACATTCCCAAACCAGCCAGCCCTCTGAAGGAATAAGAATAATGAATGTGAAGCCCTTTTATAATTTAATCCGAATGGAAATTCGGAGAAGTAGAGGGATGTCACCCGCTTCCCAGCTGGAGAACCTGCCACTCACAGAAGTGAAGAAGGAGAAAATACAAATCCAGGACGACAGGCTAAAAGGTTTTTCTCTGTGTCCAATACAGTGCTGCGTCCGAGCAGGTGTCCGTAACCGGGGACCCGGAGCCGGGCTTCGGGCGTCTGCAGACTGCCTGGCCTCAACTGAAACTGTACTCACAGGCGTGCGGGGAAGGTTTTCTTGGGAGAAGGTCCAGGAAAGTTCAAGGAACTTCTACTGTATGGCAGTGACATGCTGACAGCTTAGTGAGCAAAGAACATGACGGCAAACGGATTCTCATTAAAACGTCAAAGAGTCCAGGGCTCCAAGGGCAGGGAGCAGGGGTGGAGAAAACGAAGGAGGCTTGGCAATAACGCCTCGGAGCGCACGGTGCTTCTCACGGCCCTGGGTCAGATTTTGCCGGTCACGTGCAGCTGACTCCATAGGTGCCAAGTGACGGCAGGTGCTGTCTGCCCTAGTGGGCAGTCCCCTCCCATGGCAGGGCCAGTTTGGGTGAGGCCTGGACCCAGACACTGACCCCCCAGATGACGCACTCCACTGACAGGAAGACACAACAGCCAGGGAGCCACTCACGTCACCCAGTCCCCAGGGAGCAAACCGAACACACGCATTCTTGAGTCTCCCGAACAGTTTCCGTTCATCTGCTTGGCCGGGAGCAAGCGGATCGGACGTCTGTGGTGCTGACCGGCATCAGTGAGAGTGTGTTCTGGAAACGTATGTGGGCCCCATTTCATTTGTATACCGGACCAACATTTATTAAGTCCCTATCACGTAGCTGGCAATGTTTCAGGCACTGGGATACCAAGAGCAGACAGTGTCCTGGCTGCCCAGGAACTCAGTGTGGCTGTGGGAGCTGATGTGTAAACAGTACGCGGCCTGATCGGTGCTCTACAGACTCACCCGCAGAGTGCTGGGCGAGGAAGGAAGCGTGGTATCTGCCTGGAACATCTGGGAGGGCTTCCTAGAGGAGGCAGTGCCCACCTGGATGACAGACTGCACCCCTGGTATTATAGGTGTTCTGTTGCCTATAATGTAGTTTCAGTAGATTGATTTGTGAAATGTCTGAGTCAGCTAGCACCTGAGGGACTCTACTCGGGAAATCACCCCTCAGGGTAGACAGCATTGCAGAGTGTTTTGTAAGAAGCCCCAACAGCAGAGTCAGCTACTGGCCTTTAGTTTCTACATCTATATTGGGGCGTTTCCTAACTAGCAAATGATTTGTTAGAAATCATTTTCCCCTGGTGAGGAGAATGATAACTTAAGGTACATGGGCTGGCTAGAAAAACACAGGTGCCTCTTCCCTTTGCAGGAATGGGTTACGGGATCTGGAAACCCCAGCAGCTGGGTCACTCTTCAGAGAGACACTGCTGGTAGCATTCAGGTAAGATCCTGTGACCCACCATCGAGCAAGAACATTTTTTTCTTTTGAAGATTTATTTATTAGAGAAAGAGTGAGAACAGCGGGGAGGGGCAGAGGGAAAGGGAGAGAGAGGATCTCAAGCAAACTCCTTCCTGAGTGCAAGCCTGATGCGGGGCTCGATCCCAGGACCCTGAGATCATGACCTGAGCCGAAACCAAGTCAACCACTCAACCGATGGAGCCACCCAGGCACCCCTGAGCAGGAGCATTTGCTGCTGGATTCCCCCGGGGGTGGGGAGGATGGGGGTGTGGGGTGGTAAACAGAATCCAGCTGCTAGGATACTGGCACACTTGCTTCTGATGAAACACTCATGCAAGAATACTCGAGTCACTACGTATTCTCACTAATCTTACAAGAACAAGTGGTGTGACTGTATTTGTGACATGTTAATGAATGTTTGCATGTATGGCCGAGTTTAGCCTGAGACTTGGTTTCCCTGTAAGTCTAGTCAGCCCCTGGTAGGGAGACTGGGGGAGAGGAGACCTGTTAGTTTCCCAGCTCCATCATCCCACAGTCAAGTTGGGGGGGCGGCCAGTCAGTATGGGCTCGAGAGCAGTTTGCCTTCTGAGGCTGTCTGCAGAAACACTTCAATGCCCTGCCCCAAATGATTCTCCCAGCAGTCACGGAACCCACCTGGAAGGGAACCAACCCTTTCTTGCCCCATTGCCTTCATTTTGACCTCCATGACCCTCACTGTCCTTACAACCAGGCTTGAAAACTTCCAGACTCTGCTACCTGCTCTGTCTGATGGAGTCCCTTCCGTCCACAGTAATACCCAACACCATTTCTATCACGTTAGCCTGACAGCTGGTTGTCCTAACAATTCCCCTTCATAACATTTCCGACTATTAAGTAATTGCCGTCAAGAGGATTAATCTCCGTGGGGGATTTTTCTGGCAAAAAAAGGAGCTGCTCCCTAAGGGGGAAAACAGCATTCTAAAGGCAAGGAGGGGGACTCAAGTCTGCCACCTGGTGGCCAGTCGAGGTAGAGCAGCACTCCCCGGGCTTCAGGGCTCTGTGGCTCCCCCTAGCGGCACTGAGGATCATCTGAGGAGTGATTATAAAAACAAAAAACTTCCCCTGGCCGTCCAGGGATACTCCCAGACCAACTAAAGAAAAATCTCTAGGGGTGGAACCCAGGGTGCACATTAGAATCTCAGGTGAGCTTTTCAAAAATATGCTTCCTGAGAGTAGACCCCGACCTGCAGGTCAGAATCTCCCAGAGCTAGGGCCGCTGTCCGAGTGCTCGGAACACACCCTGCTTAAGGACGAGTGGTCCGCTTCTGCCTGCAGGACAGTCATCCTGCCAGACAAACACAGGCCTGGGTCCCCCCCGGCTTACCTCACGAGTCCTGAGTGGAGCTTGAGAACCTGTACTTTCAAGCAGAAACGGGACTCACAGAGGTCGTGACTTGCCCAAGGTCACAAGCCTGGTGGGGCAGGGCTGGAACACCAAGGCCAGTCTTTGGGTTCCCCTCCTGCCCCCCACCCCGGAACCGCATGCGGCTGGATGCTTAACTCCACTGGAGGGGCATTCTCTGTCGCAGTGAGCTAGAATTCTTAGGAGGAAGCAGAAAAAATATGAAAATAAGCAAAAAGGTACCCCAAACGAGACATCATAGTCTTCGAACGTATAAGGTTTGTCTGCGAGGTCTTCAAAGAACTCTGCTAAGGAGTCTAGTGTCTTCTCAGCCAGTCTTTCATAGGTGGTCTCATCCAGAGAGCTGCAGGGAAACACCAAAACCCCCCAAACACACGTTTGCCAAACTGCTCCATTTTATTAACGTCAAACCTACATTATCTATTTATTTACTTATTTAATTTTTAGTAAATAAACTAAATAAGTAAATTCATATTTAGTAAATTAAATAAGTCCAGTGTGGGGCTTGAACTCACCACTGGGAGATCAAGAGTCACATGCGCCACAGACTGAGCCCACCAGGTGCCCCGAAACATCAACTTTTTACTCAAATTAGAAAAATTCATGGGAAATTCATGTACAGACAAAAAAATTAATCAGCATGAAAGAGTTTATATAGGGGCGCCTGGGGGGCTCAGTCAGTTGAGCCTCTGCCTTCAGCTCGGGTCATGATCCTGGCTCCTCGGATGGAGCCCTTTGTTGCCTCCCTGCTCAGTGGGGAGGCTGCTTCTCGTGCTCCCCCTGCTTATGCCCACTCTCTCTCTCTGTCAAAAAAATAACTGAATAGGGGTGCCTGGGTGGCTCAGTGGGTTAAGCCGCTGCCTTCGGCTCGGGTCATGATCTCAGGGTCCTGGGACAGTCCGGCTCTCTGCTCAGCAGGGAGTCTGCCTCCTCCTCTCTCTCTCTGCCTGTCTCTCTGCCTACTTGGGATCTCTGTTAAATAAATAAATAAAATCTTAAAAAAAAATAAAATAAAATAAATAATTAAAAAAAATAACTGAATAAAAAAATCTTAAAAGAAAAAGAAAGAGTTTATAAAGAAGGAAACCTTTCTTCCCAAATAAGCAGCCCCCACTGGCAGAGTCAACTACGAATAACAGTCTCATCTGTATCTGTCCAGAATTTTAAATCCTTTTTAATATGGAAATTGAAGCACCTTACAGTTTTTATTTAATATATCCTGGAAATTGTTCTATATTAGCATATACATATTTTCATGGTATTTTATATCATATTATTTATTCAACCTGACCCCTTCAGCTGGACATTATACTTATTAAAATTGCTTGTATTATGATTAAAATTATGTTGGGCGTTTGCCCAACAAAGTGGGAGAAAATATTTATATTAAATGTATCTGAAAATGGGCTTATTTCCAGAATATATAAAGAACTAAAAAAAAAAAAAAACACAAAAATAAAAAACTACAAGTAAATAAGAAAAAGAAAACGCAATAGAAAAAATGAGTAAAATGCTTGAACAGATATCATTTTTAAAAAAGATATCCAAATGGCCAGTGAACACATAACAAGGGGTATAACTTTATTAATCTTCAGGAAAACACACCGTAAAAAATTCACGATACCACCAGAATGGTTAAAATGAAAGAGACAGATAATAGCAAGAGCAGGCCCAGAAGTGAAGCAAACCCTCTCCATGGGGTGTGGGGTGGGGGTGGTGTGTGTGTGTGTGTGTGTGTAGGTCAGAAGAGCTACTCCTAGACCTGGAGAGAGGACTGCATGTCACCTGGAAATCTTGGCCTTTGTGGTGGATGAGAGACCATATGGGCCTGTGATGGCAGCCCTGGGGTTAAGGGCTCATGTATTGTGTGTGTGTGCGTGTGTGTGTGTGTGTGTATACGGAGGGTCCACGCAGACACCAGTGGTGGCAGGAGCCGACTGTAGCAGTGCCAGGGAGCTGTGCACGGGAACGTACGGCTTCCTTCCAGGACACCCACCAGGCTAGATCTCCCAGCATCCCTTGCAGTCAGCTGGGGTCACGTGACCAAGCCCCCCCACCCCCCAATCGGAGGGAGGGACAAGCGCCACTTCCCAGACTTCCATGCTCTTGCACCTTTCTGTGGAATGGAGCCTGGGCAGGGTGACCTGGCTTCCACCATGTAGGGGACACAAGGGATGGGAAGGCGGCAGGACCCCGGTGGCCTGAATCCCTGCACCGAGGCACGCCCACCCTGGACCGTGGGGACACAGGGGCGCCTACGGCTGCTGGCTCCAGCCATTACAGCGGTGGGTCTCCCCGTTACAGAGGCCTGGCGGACCCCAAATGCTGAGTCATCAACGATAGTAACAACAGAACTCTGGAAACCACCTCATGTCCAGCAGTGGGGGACAGGTGGAATGAACTACGATACGTCCATAAAACTTAGTATTATTTCATTTAAAACTGTGGTAGAGGGGAACGCGGGTGGCTCAGTCCGTTACACATCTGACTCTTGCTCTCAGCTCAGGGCTCCGTCTCAGGGCCGTGAGTTTAAGCCCATGCTGGGCTCGGCACTGGGCGTGGAGCCTACTTAAAAATAAATACATAAATATACTAATATGGTAGATGGTTGGTGAAATGGAAAGATGCTTATGAGTGCTACTGCTAAGGGAGAAAACAGGTTTTGGATGGGATGGGCTACTTTTTTTTTTTTTTTAAACCAGTAAGAGAAATGGAAAAAACTTTAAAAAGCTAATATAGGTATGAGCAGGTATGCACAGCTGTGTACTGAGAGAGAGGAGGAGGGGGGTGGGAGGAAGGGCTCTCTGACGTGGAAGGGGCTTTAGCTTACCCAGGGTCGCCCACCGTGCCCACTGTTCTCACAGTCATCCAGCAGACACTCTGCTTTTTGACATTCACCATCTGATCAAGGCGGTGGAGGCTCAGACTCTAAAAGCCAAAGTGAAGAAGCATGTTACTGTTTTCCTGTGCATTACAGTCCCTGAACGTGTGGCTTAAAAATCACTACTCCTGCATTTGAGAATAAACCACGTTCAATTTTTCCAGGACTGTTTCTGGAATGTTTCTGCTTGTTTTGATGCATTACCTTGTGTTCTCTCGGGCTCTCTCTAAGGCTGTGCGGTCCAATATAATAGCCCTGAGCCACAGCCAGCTAATTTACATTTAAATTTGTCACTTCCCATCACTTCCCACTAAAATTTGAGTGAGGGACAAGCACCACTTCCAAGACTCCCATGTTCTGGAAGGCCACGTTTCAAGTGTCCTGTGGCCTCCCGTGGCCAGTGGCACATAGAACATTGTCACCATCACGGTTAGCTCTGTGGGCAGCACTGCTCCAGGCTATTCGAGGTATGCGGTGGTTAGCACAGGCCAGGCGTATGGAAGCAGCTGCAAGGCTCCTGGAATTTGACGAGTGCAGGCAAGCGGCCGATGTCTGCTGTGGTCCAAAAGAGGGGATGGACTGCATGTGGACAGGTCTCATTAACATCTGTGGGAGATAATGTGACCTGTCGATTTCTTCCAACACATAACTGGAAGAGGGTCTATTTGCTCGTCTCTAGGGCTGCCAGCCCCACTGACCAGCTGGAGAGACAGATGACATAACCAGAGGACAGTGACCGAGGGGACCCTGGCTGAGGGACCTGCCCCAGTGAGGAAGGGGACAGAGCCTGTAAAAGGAGAAAAAAGTGGAGATGGCAGTGGAGAGGTGGCCCCAGGGCCTTGTGAAGGCACTCAGCTGGACTTCATCCTGGGACAGCCCCCAAGGTCTGGAAGGGGTTGGCGGTTAAGATTCACCTTCTCTAAAGGTCACTCTGGCGCAGGGCTCCGGGGCCATTGTTCTCTTGAGCCACCGGTGCCCTTGGCAAGCTCAGAAAGGAGAAGGCAGAGGGCATGGGGCTGAGAAGTGAGCAGAAGAGGGGGAACAGGGGTATAGAGCACAGAGAGTGTGATTTTAAAGGGCTGGCTCCGAAGGAGAAGCAGAGAGCCAGCATGATAATCAGTTATTGCTACTGCACATTCTAGAGTGTTCCCTACTGCTGGGTGTTGATAGTCTTGATAGAAATGGATGAGGTCAGTCCTCATTACAAGCCTGTGAAGCAAGTACTGTTATTATAGTGGTTCTTCTCGACAGTTTGCTCTATAAAGTCACCATGAACAGGAGGTTAGTGAGATGCTCCTATGGGAAAATACAGGTGTAGGTTCCTGCAGGCTTTGGGTTACGTGTGACCAGGGGATCCGTACATAACCTCATTTACAGGTGTCTCTGTTTAAAGCCCCCTTGTTTAATATGCATTGTTGTTTCATGAAACTGAGCTCGGGGCCACCAGTGCCATAAATGAGGCCTGAACAAGGCTGATCTAGCACACGTGTTTTGTCGGTAAGGCCCATCACAGCCTTCTTGTGCTCAGACCACTAGACAGCATGTAGGCACTACGCTCCGGGGCCATGTTAAATAGTGAAATCACCAACTGGAAACCCAAAAATGCAAATAGTGTGCCACAGAATAGATAGTGGAAAGGACACTTGTTGACCCCATGGGAGCCGAGAGAAGGCAGAGTGTCACCTTGTTTGATCTCAGTGGCAACACACAAGCATGGGGTGACTCCTCAGTTTTTGCTGCTCTGTGTGTGTGTCTGAGAGTGAGCATCAAATCTGCTTTGGGTGTTGATTCTGGGATTACAGATAAATTTTACTAAATAGGTGAATTCCTGAGTCCAGGATCCATGAAATGCAAGGAGAGACATTTGTATTTTATGGATGAAGAAACAGAGCAAATCACTCAGATACACAGATGCAAAGTGGGGGTCCAAGGATTTGAACCCACATTGTCTGGCCCCAGGGTCCAGGCCACAAAGGAAAGAATCACACACCTGAGTCATACAGTGTTTTGGACATGGAAGGGAAGTTCGAGAACTAGAGGCTCAGACTTTCCCTCCTCTCCAGGATCCTGGCCTCTCAAATCCTAGCTGTCGTAGACTGACACCTTCGTACAGCCTTTTTTCTGTTTCAGTTTTGGTTTTGACTCTTGTATCTTGAATGGCTGTTCTTGGTGGGAGGTTTGTTCTGCTGCAAGTTATAGCTAGAAGTAGAAGTCTGCATGCGGCCATTTTTAATCATCAAAGGAACCGTTGCCAAAGACTCTTTGCTGGTCTCTTACCCATTCTCCCCAAGCTAACGTTCCCTGGGTACCTGCTTACACTTTCTGAGCCCCTGAAGGCAGGGGTCAAAGTACCCGCCACACAGACCAGAGATGAGCCTTAGACAGGAAGACATGAATACCCCAAACACAGGGCGAGAGGGTGTCTGGTCAATTTTGGTTTTGGAGCATGTCAACAAGAGTGTGGACAGGCAGAAGGGAAGGCCTGGCCTGGCTGGCTAGCAAGGAGGCCGGCCCTCACCCCAGGATCCCCTTGGCAAAGCACAAAGCTGGCAATGCTGGAAAGGTGAGTCAGGTCTCACCCACCACTGGGGGGAATGAACTGGTACAACCACTCCTGGCATAAAATGAGCTGAATATTTGCTGGCCCCTCACCTAGCAATGCCGTTCTTAGGAATTCGGCCACAAAGAGCCTCTGTCCACGCACAGCAATGCTTACATGAACACCATTGTGATGGCAGCATCATGGCGGTCACCCGGATGTCACCAGGAGACTGGACAGGGCATGATGTAGTCACCCAACGGGACACTACCCAGCCGAGAAAACACATAAATGACAACTGAGTGCAACAATGTCAATGAGCCTCAAAAACAACACTGAACACAAGACACAAGTCATGGTACAATAAATGCAGCAGAATGTTTTCTATCAATAGCACGCGCTTTAGGGAGACATACATAGGGGGTGACACTCTAGGAAAAGGAGGGGATGCCTGACAGAATTCAGGAGAGATTTCCCTCACTGAGGCCCGGTGGTCATCGGGAGAGCCCCAGAGCCTTCTGGCGGACAGGTAATCAGTCTCTTAATCTGGTGGTGAGAATGTGGCAGTGTGTTATTAATCTTTAAATGGTACAGTTTTGTTTTGCTTTTTAGATTTATTTATTTCTCAGAGAGATAGAGCACAAGAAGGGAGAGGAGCAGGCAGAGGGAAAAGCAGACTCCCCACTGAGCAGAGAGCCCGATGCAGGGCTCGATCCCAGGACCCTGAGATCATGGCTTGAGCCGAAGGCAGAGGCTTCACCGACTGAGCCACCCAGGTGTCCCGTGAATTTGTTTTTTCAGTTGCAAGTTTTATAAAATATAAATCAACCATTTCCACAATAAGTTCAGCTTAACATCTGAGCTTACGTGTGCTGATGTGAAATACACACTAGATTTGGATGAATGAGTACCAAAAAAGACTGTTAGCTCAATGATTTTTCAGTATTGATTACATGTTAAGATGATAATATTTGGAAAAACTAGATTACATAAATGTATTGTTGAAAAAAAATTTTTAAACTAAGCTCTAGGTCCAGCATGGGCTTGAACTCATGACCCAGATCGTGTGTCTCATGCTCTACAGTTGAGTCAGCAAGGCACCCCTCTGTGGTGTTGAAATTAATTTCACCTATTTCCTTTTACTTTTTCAATGTAGCTGCTAGGCAGTTTAGAATTACACAGGCAGCTCCCATTCTGTTTCTTTTGGATGGTGCTGTAGAAGTAGGCATAGGGGATAGAGAAAATAAGGATGGGGATGAGGCCCCCATAATGAACTCAGGTCTCGATGAGTTCTGGAGTGCAGGGACATTGGGGGGGTCAACCTGAGGACAGGTAAGACCTTGAAAAAATTAAACATGGTGGTCCCAGTTGCCACTATCATCCACCCAGCTCCGCAAGTACTGGAGATGGTTGAGGGCATTGTTTTACAAAGTTCAACAAACCCGATTAATTTACTACGGTAGAGGAGGCCCAAATGGGTGACTCAGGTTAACTACCTCCCAGCCTCCTATAACCCCCAATTCCAGTGTGTGTCCGGTGCCCACCTCCTGATGGCAGCTCTCAGTTGGGCATGCTTCTGAATCAACAGCCCGCAACAGCCACAGGTACTATCCCAAAGACCATGCCTTATCTTGTGACGGTCCTAAATTACAAACTGCTGGCAAACCACAGCCGGCACCAGCAGGGGTGGGAGTGCAAGCCAGGGCAGCTCCAGGTGGGAGCAGCACGGAAGGAGAGGGGTAGTAAATGTCTCTGTTCTGCACCTGGGCATCCTAATAACAGGATGGCCATAACTGCCTGTATTTCCCAAGAAGCCAAGGGACCCAGTATCAAGGGCCCAAGTTTGAGTGTTGGCAACCAATCCTAAATTTTCTTCGAACACGACCAAATAACAGAGCGGTCAAGTCTAAAGTCCAAATTTCAGCGCTCCAGGGGCGATCTGGGTTGCGTTTCGCCTGCCTCCTCCACCATGTGTGGTCCACGCAGCGTACCAACCACTCAGCATCCGGTATCCACCCGCCTTCTCGGCCCAGGTCTGTTTCTCCGTCGGGAATGCCCCTCCCTGCTCTATTGCCACCTTCAAGACCCGGTTTAGGTCTGCCTTCAGTTCAGGTCATCATCCCAGGGTCCTGGGATCGAGCCTTGCATGGGGCTCCCTGCTCAGCGGGGAGTCTGCTTCTCCCTCTGCCCCTACCCGCTTGTGCTCTCTTTCTCAAATAAATAAAATCTTGGTGGGGGGGCGGAGACCCTGATTAAACATCGCGTTCACCCCGCTGTGAGTCTTCCTCAACCCCACTCCCATTCTTTGGGCTTTCTCCTTTCAGGTCTTGGAGTGACTGGGTCAGATGCTTTGCAGCCCCCAGGGGAGAAAAGGGAATTAACTTCTAGGGCTGAAGACTTTGTATTACGTTAATCCTGCGTAATCCTCCCAACAGCTCCGCAAAATGGGCGGTACCCTTTCATGTCTTTAGGGAAAAGGAAGCCACCTTTTCCTCCGCCTCGGAGAGGTTCCAGAACCCGAGGTCACACAGCTCTGCTGAACTTGGGAGGCCAGGCCCTGTCATTCTACAAAAAGCTTCCAAAAGCTTTGCTGCCCTAGCTACTGTGCTCTGAGCCTCGACGTTTCCACCACGCTCGAAGGAAGCGTTTCGTTCCTAAAAGCCCACGCGTGGAATCATCGCTCTAGGATTCTACATAATACTATCCTATATTATTATGTTGGTATGTGTAGTGTTTTATTCTACTTATGTATATTTATGCACCACACTAGTACGTATGCTACAGTACCTAGTACAGTATCTAGTATCGCTTAAATTGAAGTTCGGGCAAAGGGAAGTGGAGAGCTCGGCGACCACCACGGACCCCCAAGATCGGGTCCCCGGCCACTTCCTCTGCACTGCGTCCCCCCGCAGTTGCATTGCACTGCCCTTTTCACCGGAAAGCACAGGCTGGTGCAAACGTGACCCCGGGGAAACAGAAGGCCCAGTGCGCGGCCGCGCGCCAGGCAGGGAGCAGCGCGCTCCACTGCCGCGCGGCCACCAGCAGAGCGCGGCCCCGGTGCGCGGCCCCGCCGGAGCGGAGTGGACGCGCGTGCCCGCAGCGTCCCCAGCGTGCGCGGCCTCTCCCTGCCGGCGTGCGGCCCGGACGGCTGCGCGGCGCGGGTACTCACGGCGTGGCTGGGTACGCGGGTAGCTCCGGTCCCGACGCGCAGCCGCCGGCGGCTGTAGAGCGGGGCGTTCCTCGTCGGCCCCTGGGCCCCGGCGCGGGCCGGGGCCGAGCCCGGGGGCGCCGAGAGAGGCAGGAGGCCGGCGGCCGCGCGGCGCCCGAATGTCCACATGCTGCTCCCAGGCTGCGGCCGCTCCGCCCTCCCGCTCCGGGGACGCCGCGGCGACACCTGGTGGCCACGGGTGGCAGGCGCCGCGGTTCGGCTCCGCGCTCCGGTCCCCTCTTCCGTCGACTGTGGGAAATGGCCCGAGGTTAGACCTCAGGGAGAACTTCCCAGCATTCCGCCCTCTCTGTATTTGACACAAATGGGGTGCGCGCTCGGTGCGAAGCCCTAGGGCAACGTGTGAATGCGTAATGACCCACGGCTGCAGAACTGTGTCTGGGAGGGATTTGCGAGCTGCAGCTGCGGGCTTGCTGGGAACCCGATGGCGAGCAGGTCTGCGGCTTGGCTGCAGGAGGTTATAGCCCTTAGGAGCGGGCAGACAGGAGAGGGATTGCCTGGTTTACATCCGAACTCTATTTCCTAGCTGTGTGACCAGGGGCAAGTTAATTCACTTCTCTGTGCCTCATCTGTAAAATGGAGGGTTTTTGTTTGTTTGTTTGTTTTTTACTCCAGGGCTGTTTTTAGGATAAAATGAGTTAATCTGGGCAAAGTGCTTTTTTTAGACCCTGCCTGCTAAGTGTATGGTATGTATGTTTTTGTTGTGGTTGTTGCTTAAGATTTTATTTATTTGAGATACTGAGAGAACACAAGCCGGGGGCAGAGGGAGAGGGAGAAGCAGGCTCCCCACTGAGCAGGGAGCCAGTCTTCAGGGAATCCCAAGACCCGGGGATCACGACCTGAGCCAAAGGCCGATGCTCAGCCCACTGAGCCACCTGGGCGCCCAATTATGAACTTGTTAATACGCTATAGGTAAAAGACCATTTTACTTACGTTGTGTTTTGCAGAGGAATGCAAATTGTGAACTATTCATATTTTATATAGGCTTGAGAAAATACTACATGTGCATACCAGAGAATATAATTTTTATGGAGGTGTTAGTGGACAGAGGAGATAGTTGGCGCTAAAGTTTTTCCAAAGCCACCTTGGTACTTGGTGAACAGTGGAGATAAGATGCAAGTATAAATGTGTGGGACACTAAATGACAAGTGTCAAAGAAGAACAGAAACTATTGGATATCACCACTGAGTGGGAGGGTATATACTGCTAGGGGACAATCAAGGAAGTCTTCATGGAGGAAGTGGCATTTGCACAGGGCCTTGAAAAAACAGGGTAGAGGAGGTGGGATCTGATTGGTTGTCAGAAGGGTAATCCGGGGCGTTCTTTTGGATGAGAGACATTTTCTTGCCTTCAGTTAACCCTAAGTCATTTATTGAGCACCTGTTATGTATATGCCCGGCCTGGAGAAGCCGTTTCTCCCTGTAAATTATCTGGAGATACACTGGAAGGTTAAAACAAAGTGGGGGTAGGGGGCGTGTGTGCTACTGGTATCCAGTGAGTAGACCCCAGGGGTGTGTTAGATAATGTGCTATAGACAGGATGGCCCCCTACTACACAGAATTACCCAGTACAAAATGGTAATGGTGCCAGGGCCAAGAAGCCCTCACTAGAGGCAAAGGGAAATGTTTTGGTTGCCCGCCACAGCCCCAGGTCCTGCCACACTAATAGTGAGGCCTGTCTCACATCCTCAGAAGTGCATTATATACTTGGGGAGCTGCAGTATGATGAACTAGCATGCTTAGCATGCTGTGGCATAGAGAAGGCCCCTGCCCATTCCCTGCAAAATTGGTATCACTGCTCTTTTTTTTCAGCCAAGGAGGCGGGCTCAGAGTAGCATAGCTGACAACAGGAAGACCTCCCAGGAATCTGCTTCTCAGTTGGACTGAGAAAGACGGATACTGTATGATTTCACTCATATGTGGAATCTAAACAAAGAAACAAACAAAAGTCCGAATCAGACCTGTAAACACAGAGAAAAAACTGATAGTTGCCAGAGGGCCAGGTAGAGGGGTGGACCTTATAGGACCCAGAGCTTTTTCCCCTTTTCCCCTTTCCACTTAGCTTCAGCCCAAGGGCAGGGGCCGGGAGGTGGTGTGTAGCACTGCCTATCCACTTGGGGGTGGGCCAGAGTTCTAGAACTCACATTCTCTGCTCTTAGAGGTCTTCCATAGGACTTACTCTAGAGCAGTGATTCCTGAGATGTTTGGACCAGCAGCTTTAGCAGCACCTGGGAACGTTAGAAAGGCACATTCTTAGGCCGTATGCAGACTTACTGGATCAAAAACTCTGGGGTAGGGCCCAGGAATTTGTGGTCTAACAAGCCCTCTGGGGAAATCAGATGCATCCTGAAGTGTGAGAACCACTATAGTGGGGTATGTCTTGGGGTAAAATTGTGAATCAAGCCAAGGTCAACAGGATTATCTTTTTTTTAAAGATGATCCCTACTAGAAAAGCAGGTTTTATTAAAAAAAAAAAATTATTTCAAGGCGCCTGGGTGGCTCAGATGGTTAAGTGTCTGCCTTTGGCTCAGGTCATGATCTCCAGGTCCTGGGATCAAACCTCACATCAGGCCCCCAGCTTGGCGGGGAGTCGGTTCTCCCTCTCCCTCTCTCCCTGCTTGTGCTCTGTCTCTGTATCTCTCTCAATGGAATAAAAAAAAAAATTATTTAGGGCGCCTGGGTGGCTCAGTCGGTTAAGTGACTGCCTTTGGCTCAGGTCATGATCCTGGAGTTGCAGGATCGAGTCCCACAGTGGGCTCCCGGTCAGTGGGGAGTCTGCTTCTCCCTCTCATTCTCCCCCCTCATGCTCTTGCGCACGCTCTCTCAAATAAATAAATAAAATCTTAAAAAAATTATTTTTAACTGAAGTATAGTTAACCTACACTCATATTAAGGTTATTATTATTATATTATTATATATAATAATTATATTAATATATTATTGTTATATTATTATTCAGGTGTACAGTATAGTGATTTGACATTTCTATACATTACACTGTCCTCACTGGGATACGTGTGGTCGCCATCTGTCATTGTACAACATTATTACAATATTAATGACCATATTCCTTATGCTGTACTTTTCGTCCCCATGACCTATTTATTTTACAAGTGGAAGTTTGTACCTCTTAATCCCCTCCATCTATTTTGCTCATCCCCCATCTGCCTCCCCTCTGACAACCACCAGTTTGTTCTGGGTATTTATGAGTCTGGTTTTTTGCTTGTTTCTCTGTTTTGTTTCTTAGATTCCACATAGAAGTAAAACCATACGGTATTTGTCTTCCTCTGTCCGAGTGATTTCACTTGAGCATACTGTCATCTGGGTTCCTCCGTGTTGTTGCAAATGGCAAGATTTCATGTTTTTTAATCACTGAGTAACATTTCGTTTTGTATATATGCCACATCTTCTTTATTCATCTTCCCATGGATACTCAGGTTGCTTCCGTATCTTGGCTCTTGTAAATAGTATTATAATGAATGTGGGGGTGCATATATCTTTTTGAATTAGTGTTTTCATTTTCCTCAGGTAAATACCCAGAAGGGGGATTACTAGATCATACAGTACTTTTAATCTTTCCCTTTTTAAAAAATGTATGAATTTATTTTAGCAGGGGGGGGGGTGGCAGAGGGAGAGAGAATCCCAAACAGATTCCCCGTTGAGCGTGAAACCCAATGAAGGGCTTGATCCCACAATCCTGAGATCATGACCTGAGATAAAACCAAGAGTCTGACTCTCAACTAACTGAACACCCAGGTGCCCCATACTTATAATTTTTTGAGGAATCTCCATATTGTTTTTCATAGAAAATTTACATTCCCACTAACAGTGCATGAGGCCTGCCTTTTTTCCACATTCTCACCAACAGTCGTTTCCTTGTCTTTTTGATATTAGCCATTCTGACTGGTATGAGGTATATCTCATGGTGGTTTTGTTTTGCATTTCCCTGACAGGATAATCTTTCTAAAGCTAAAAATCTAAATGTAAAATGTGAATGTAACCCATCAGTTCCTTTTTACTACCATCAAGATAAGTGCTCTTTCCACTGGACCCTATTCTCCAGCTAATCTGAGGGTACCAATTAGAATTAGGTTTTGCGGAGTAAAACAGAGAACAAGAAATTAACGTTTTAAAAATTGAGAAGTTTAGGGGCGCCTGGGTGGCTCAGTGGGTTAAAGCCTCTGCCTTCTGCTCAGGTTGTGGTCCTGGGGTCCTGGGATCAAGCCCCGTGTCGGGCTCTCTGCTCAGCGAGGAGACTTCTCCCCCCCGACCCCCCGCCTGCCTCTCTTCCTATTTGTGATCTCTGTCAAATAAATAAATAAAATCTTTAAAAAAAAAATTGAGAAGTTTATTTCTCTTTCACATCCAAAGAGGTCTAGAAATCGGCTGTCCAGCGTTCTTGGACCATTCAGCAAAGTTATCTGGGAGTGTGATTTCTTTTTCCAAATCAGTGATTTAGTGTTTGGCAAAAATGATGTATATTTTATAAAAATTTGAGAAATTTTATTTATTTCTTTAGAGCATGCACAGGTTAGGGGGCTGTGGTGAGCACTGAGGGCCAGAAGGAGAGACTCCTAGACCAGATCCACACCCAGGGCAGAGCCCCGGGCGGGGCTTGAACTTAGGACCTGATATCATGACCTGAGCTGATATCAAGAGTTGGACACTTAGCCAACTGAGGCACCCAGGTACCCCTAAAATTCAAGAAATTTTAAGAAAATGTATTCAAAAGAAAGCAAGAAAATGCCCAACAGAATTAACTGTGGTAAGCATGATGAATATCTTTTCATGCAGTTCAGTAGGTGTATTTATTTTGTCTATGACTAAGCTGGTCTCAGAAGGATACAAGGCAAAATCAATCCTTTTTTTTTTTAATTCCATTAGCCAATGTGTAATACATCATTAGTTCTTGATGTAATGTTCAATGATTCATTAGTTGCTATTATACCCAGTGCTTATCACATCACATGCCCCCCTTGATGCCCATCATCCAGTTACCCCATCCCCCCACCCACCTCCCCAAATCAGTCTTTTTAAAAGATTTTTTAAAAAGATTTTACTTATTTGTCAGAAAGAGAGTGAGCACATGCAGGGGGAGTGGCAGGCAGAGGCAGAGGGAGAAACAGACTCCCCACGGAGCAGAGTC